GCGGTGATGATCTCGCCAGTAGGGGCAACGTTGGTACCCTTGGGCAGAGGTGCCTTGCCCTCCAATTTGCGAAGGTGGTTCTCAAGCTTGATACGGCTGGTGAGACCAAGAATGGCCTTCTCCTCGTCATCCTTCTCGTCCAGCTCCTCGTCAAGAGCGTCGACACGCAGTCCAAGGGCGGCCTTGGCAGAAAGCATACGGGCAATCTTTCCCTTGTTACGACCGGTGGCCTGGCCGATAAGAGATGAGTGGTAGATGATACCATACTTGGGTGTGTCGTGCTTGGTCTTGAGAGCACGGAACAGGGCCTTCTCGGCACCGAGAATCTGGATGGTAGAACCGGGGGACTTGGCAAGGCTGATAAGAGAACCAGCATGGGCGATCAGACGGGCGCCGACGAGGACGCCGACGAGCGCAGTCAGGTTGGGGGCAATGGCCCGCATGCGGCTCTCGAGGTAAGAAGAAAGCTCAGCACGGTAGTTGGTGTAGAGAATAACCTGGTTGGCGAGGGACTTGATGTTGTCGAGATCCTTCTCGGTAATATCTGTACCCATGCTCATCTCGGCTCTGGCCTTGACAGCCTCCTCGAGTTCTTCGGGGAGGATCTCGGACAGATCAGTATCGACGATGTTGGTCCTCATGCCGGCGGCCAGGACGACACGTGCGTAAGCGACGTTGTCATTCAGAGTCTTGGCCAATTCTGGGAAGTGCCAGCCGTACCATTCCTTGGTTCGCATAGCGTACACATTGAGTTCCTTGTCAAGGTCGTCGAGCATTTTGATGGCTTGGATAATCATCGAATCAACCTTGTCTGCGGAGAACTTGAGCTTGTGGCGAGACATGGAGTGGGAGAGACCGAGAGCCATGCGGTCGACATTCTCGGGCACAAGTCCAGGAATCAGGGATGAAAGATGTTCACGAATGCCACGGAAAAGATCCATTGTGTCGCTTCCAGAGACGGCAGTGAGCTTTGAGTCGGCGAGGTTCGAGATGGAGCTACCCAGCTTCATGTCGGCGACAGCGAGGGAAGCCTTCTTCTCGGCCTTGAGATCCTCGAGGAGCGACGAGAGCAGCTCGGGAACCTTTCCTTCCTTTAGAGAGGCAGCCTCTTCGAGTGCGACAGCTGCGCTTTCGAACTTGACGAACTTTTTGAGCTTCAACCTAGAGGAACAAACATGTTAGGCGATTGCTCGAATTGCCTGTCTCAGGAGAATACCTACATCTCAACCAACTTCTCCGGGTGTGCGAAATCTTCGGCGAGGTCATTGTTCTTCAACAACTTCTTGTCGGCAGCCTTGAACAGGCCATAGCTACCAATTGTTAGTTTCAATTGACCACGTCCAAAGGGTAGGAATTTTCAGGCAGAATCTGTCCAACAATTCCACGAGTTACGCACCCTGCCGGCGTCTCTGCAAGAACGAACAGAGACATCTTGATAATAGTATAGCCTCAATGAGTGTCCCTCTTCAAGATTGGTCGTGGGCGCCGTTGCCGTTCCTGTGCGCGCGCGTGAAGGTGTAAATCAAGTAGGCACGAGGATAGACGCAAAACAGAAATTTTCGAAACTTTTTTTTTCCAGCCCGTAGAGAAGCTCTCTTCCGTCCCCACTCAAAGTTTTTTGGTGCTGTTCTAGCGCAGGTAAGTGGGTCTTTCTTCGGCGTCACGGCCGTATAGATATTCCGGCAGCAGCATCCCACCAGCCAGCCAATCACGTGGCTTTCGTCTTACTAGTAGCAATGCCATTGCTGCACTGATTTGCTAGCCTGGTTGATGCAGCCTCTAGTTCTACATAGGTCAGGGTGCAAGAATGGTTGGAGAAGACGAGTAGAAATAGGCATCTTTAATTATGGTGTAATGGCATTATTTGCAATTCAAGATCGTGCACAATAGACCTCCAAGAACACAGCCTGATTGTTCTGGCTGCTCAACCACTGTGCACTAAGCCTAATTGGTGCCGTGTCCTGTGCTATTCCTGCCTGGCACGGGTCAGCGTGGCCTACAGGCTACTGTAGCAGCGCCGCATCTTCAGTGGCTGACCTGTTCGCAAGGTGGATCCTGACCAGCGTCACTCATCTCAATCCTCGAAAGCTCAGAGCTCCGTTGTATCTCGCATACCGTTCTGCTATACCTAATCACGCCCTACAACGCAGTACAAGCCCTCATCTTCACACAATGGAGGGACTGTTTTTCAACGTCAACAACGGGTGGGTTTCTTCCTGGGCCAGCCGAGGGTATATTGTCTGACTGAGATTAGTTACGTGGAGGGCATTGTCCGTGGCTATCGCAACAGCCTCCTCACCAGCTCGGCTTACAACAATCTCATCCAATGCGAAACCATCGATGGTTGGTTATACTTCTGGCGCAGCATGTGGTTCCGGTACTGACTCTTGTCTAGACTTGAAGCTCCAACTGGGGCCCGCATACGGCGACTTCCTCGCGTCGCTCCCCCCGAACCCATCAACATCCAGCCTGGCCGCAAAGACCACCGACAAACTCATCTCAGAATTCCGTTATGTTCGTTCCAACGCTGTCGGATCCCTGGCCACTTTCATGGACTACCTTACCTACGGCTATATGATTGACAACGTCGCTCTTCTCATTACTGGCACCCTTCACGAGCGAGACACCCGCGAGCTCCTTGAGCGATGCCATCCTCTTGGCTGGTTTGAGACGATGCCAGTCCTCTGTGTCGCTACCAACATCGAAGAGCTTTACAACAGCGTTCTGGTCGAGACGCCTTTGGCTCAGTACTTCAAGGGGAGCCTTAGCCACCAAGATCTCGATGAGCTGAACATTGAAATTGTCCGAAACACCCTCTACAAGAACTACCTAGAGGACTTTTACAACTTCGTTAACACGCACCCCGACATGGCCGGAACCCCGACCGCTGATGTCATGACCGAGATCCTCGAATTTGAAGCTGACCGCCGCGCCATCAACATCACTCTGAACTCCTTTGGTACTGAACTGACCAAGGGTGACCGAAACAAGCTGTACCCAACCTTTGGTAGACTGTATCCTGAGGGAACCCTGATGCTCTCACGGGCAGATGATGCGGAAGGTGTGCGCCTTGCCGTAGATGGTGTTCATGATTACAAGTCCTTCTTCGACACGGTGTCGATCGGAGGTGGTGCATCTGGACCCGGAAACATGGGTGGTGGCTCTTCCGATGGCAAGTCTCTTGAGGATCTTTTCTACCAAAAGGAGATGGAGATCTCCAAGGGCGCCTTCACAAGGCAATTCACCTATGCCATCGTCTATGCCTGGGTGAAACTGAGAGAACAGGTAGGTTGACTCTTCTACACCTCCGGTGGTGAAAACCAGTTGCTAATTGAACTAATAGGAAATTCGAAACATCACCTGGATTGCCGAATGCATTGCTCAGAATCAAAAGGAGCGCATTGGAAACTTTATTAGCGTGTTTTCTTAGTTTTGCTTCTCTTTACTGCCCTTCGTTTCGTCATGATGTATCGCTAGCTGATAGCTGATCGGAATGGTTCTTTCTTCATCTTCTTTATTTTACAAGCAGTTCACTCGGCGCAATGGTGGTAGATAGAAAGGCACGTTGGAGGACGTCGTCCCTCATCTGCCAATGTACTGATATTCTTACAATAAAACAGGTATTGTACAAAAGGAGTATTATGCTACACAGTGATTTCGCCCTTCCATGATGCTGGAGTCAATCCAAGCTTCTCCAACATATGCGTCCACCTCTCGCTGCCCCTCTCTTTTCTCTCCATGTACTTCAGAAGTTTTTGTCGACGATGGACAAGAAGTCTTAGATTCCTCTGGTTGTGCTTGTCCTTGTATCCTCGGTTTGTTTCCAGTGCCTGAGAGAGTGCACGGATCTTAGCCGTCAGGATAGCAATCTGGACTTCCGAGCTGCCGGTATCAGGTCCGGCACGATCAGGACGTTGCTCGGTATCAGGGTTGATGGACGGGGCCTTTGGCTGTAGGAATTTATCGGTGTTGTGCCTTCCGAATTCCGATACAATGCGTCGAACATTGGCGTGATGTCGGTCCTTGCCGCTGGCATTATCCATGGAGGTGATCCTCCTCAAGGCTTCCGTTGCTCGGGCGTGCTTTTCGAGATGGGCCTCGTTCAGTTCCTCCAAAGAAGTGTCCTCCATCTGCGACTCCACGACACCCATCGAGGGCTTCGTCAGGTTGAAAGCGTGCTTTGCGACATCCTCGAGTTCCTCCTCGGTAAGATAGTGGTTCCGGAGACCAATTGCCTGAGGAAGCTCACGGACTTCCTCAAGGGGGTTCCCATCTGCGTCCCTGCGAACGTTGCTGGTGGGAGCCTGGCCTGCAGAGTCGAGGGACTCAATGAATGGAGTCACCTTGCCAACAACGGGGTTGCCCCATTCTCCCTCTTTCTCTTTAGCAATCTCGCCCTTTCGCTGTAGATTGGCATTCTTGCGCTGTTGTGCCTGCGCCCACGCATAGGGATCCTTCTTCTGCTTCTTCTTCTTCTCTCGCATAGACAGATTCGCTGTTTGAATGGCGGGGAGGAAGTTGGGAGTCTGTCTCGTCGCTGGCCGTAGGCACACTAGGATAACCTCTATTAGCAAAATAACGGCATAAACATGAGGAACTTATATGCGTACGGCTCAAGCCATTTAGGCCCTGCAGTGTCTGTATTCTCGGAGGCATCGTGGGCCCATCAATTCGTTCAACCGTGTCAATGGACCGTACCGCCTATCGTCCGTCTCAAAATTTCCATATGCTCCAGTCTGGCTGGTCGCACGTTGACCCCATCCGCGCTCTAGCCTATTGCGAGCTAGCTTACCTTATCACGTGCAGATAAAGCATCGCGCATCTATCGAAGTCCACTAGTCTATAATAGGTATAGTACACTCAGGGCTCTTCCCACACACATTTTGGGGAATTTTGGCATCGCGAACTTTTTTGTGATCCTCGTCAAGACCACCACATTCTCTCCCTCCCCATCAACCTCACACTTCCGCAAGCACGTCACCCCAGGACAGCTAGCAAAGATGGTCTCCTCCAACCTCCCCTCGGCTCTCAACGCCACGAGCAATGACATTGAGCTGCTCCTGGCCTCGCAGGCTCACCTCGGCAGCAAGAACCTCCAGGTTCACATGGAGCCTTACCTCTGGAAGACTCGTGCCGACGGTGTCAACGTGATCAACATCGGCAAGACCTGGTATGAAGCTCCAATCCCCCATCCGCGCACGCAGCGCGCGGGCAAAAAAAATTGGCAAAAAAAATAATTGAATTGGGAGCGCTCTAACAATTTTCGCACAACAGGGAGAAGATTGTCCTGGCCGCCCGTATCATCGTCGCCATCGACAACCCGGCCGACGTCTGTGTCATCTCCGCCCGTCCCTACGGACAGCGTGCCGTCCTCAAGTTCGCCGCCCACACCGGCGCCTCCCCCATCGCCGGTCGCTTCACCCCCGGTAGCTTCACCAACTACATCACCCGCTCCTTCAAGGAGCCCCGCCTGATTGTCGTGACCGACCCCCGCACCGACGCCCAGGCCATCAAGGAGGCCAGCTACGTCAACATCCCCGTCATCGCCCTCTGCGACACCGACTCTCCCACCGAGTACGTCGACGTCGCCATCCCCACCAACAACAAGGCCCGCAACTCCATCGGTACCGTCTGGTGGCTCCTCGCCCGTGAGGTCCTCCGCCTCCGTGGTACCATCTACAGCCGCGAGACCCCTTGGGACGTCATGCCCGATCTTTACTTCTGTATGTCTTCCCCTGGCTACAATCTCCCCCTTAAAGAATTTGATAAGCTAACAATTCACCCAGACCGCGACCCTGAGGCCGAGGCCGAGGAGAAGGTCGAGGAGGAGAAGGCCGCCGAGGAGGAGGCCCCCGCCGTCGACTCTGGCTTCCAGCAAGCCGGTGACTGGGAGACGCCCGCCGCCGGCTTCACCGGTGCCGCTGCCCCCTCCAACTGGGACGCCGCTGCCGCCCCCGCCGCCACTGAGGACTGGGCCGCCTCCGGCACCACCGCCGAGTGGGGTGCCGCCGGCGCCGAGGCCCCCAAGGAGTCCCAGTGGTAGGACGCTGAGAAACCTCCTGGCGAGTCCGGTGATGTCGTGCTCGATATGGGAGCCGATTCCATGGGTTCCTGGTGAACGGGGTGCTTCTTCTTGGTCACATAATTGCTGCACAAAAGGGGCGTTTTCAAGGCTTGCAAGATATGCATCGTTTGTTATCTTTGGGGGACTTGGGGCCAAACTTGGTGGCACTTATGAGGGAAAGATACTCACTTTCTTCTAAACTATCTCCCAATGGTGTAAAGAGAGGTGAGGGAAAGCCCTGTGCGGCCAGTGGGGATGGACTTAATCGTTGTCCCACCCATGTTCCAGAGATTCATATGCAGGAGCACACTAGCAAAAGGAAAAAATCAAAAGAAAGCCTCGTAGCCATAAAAAAAGAAAAGAGAACAATGAGTTGTTCGTTTACCTGACTTAAATTGACCAGAATATCCGTGTACAATGTGACCTCTATTTAACAGTGTTAGTAGAGTAGATCTCGGGCTAGCGAGAAATTCACAACTCCCCAGAACCGACATCTTTGCGTGCTATAGACAGGTCAGATCGTCAGCTTCCCCATCACTGAAATGCATCATCACTGTTCCCCGTGTTCCATTCGAATGATTCTTGAATTTATGAATTATCTCGCAGTCCCTACATTGTCGAAGTAGGGCAAAAAAAACTTGAATATGCTCGTGATTCTGGGTATTGTCTTGCGTGCTATCCGTAACCATCATCCTCTATAAGAGGTTCGTATGCGCTCTTGAAAAGACAAAAAAAATTATCAAGAGAAAGACAGATAGGAAACGAAAACAAGAGAAAAAAAGACGTAATGAGCGAGAACAACTTCTTTCCACAATAACCCTTTGGTTCCAATAGTTCAGCGCATGCCATCTTCTCTATGTATATCTCGCAGTGTTTCGGAAAACGCCAAATGCTCCCTCAGCAATGGGATTAAAAGAGTACAGTTCGTACAAGAACCATCAACTGTTTTCATCCTCGGGTCAAACCAAACGGATAATAATACCATGCGAAGTATGAGAAAAAGAATTCGACGATCTGCTGCTTCGTCTACCCTTCTAATTGTAGCCATACTGCTACATTGTAGCTGTTCGTGATGAAAAAAAAAGATCCCTCAAGTTCAAAATTCGTCCGACCTCATGGGGCAGATATATGCCAAAGGTGTGCGAAGGACAAAATATTCAATTCGCCCGTCATGCTAGAATAGAAACTACCCCAGAATAAATCCAAGGCATAAGAATGACTGGTCTAGTGTCCCAATTATACTATATTAATCAACGCCGAAAGAGTCAGACTTATTCCAAATTTCCAGAATGGCGTCTGATCTCATCATCACTCAAAGCCCCGATCCAAAGACACCTTTCAGTGACGCCTTCGATGGGTATGAATGTATATTGTGTGCTGGCCTCCAGCAGACGCAGGAGCGTTTTGATTACAGATGCTCCAATACGGCATCGTTCAAAATTGACGAGTGGGATCGTCGTGGGAGAGCTAGCGATCTCCGAAGGTCTCTGAGCATTATAGAGGAGGTCATGGGTGTAAATTCCAACAAAAGGAATGCATCTTGTATCCGGGCTTGATTCCATCTCGGCTCTAAGATTGAAAAAGTTACGCATTGGAGTAACCAGAGCCTCAAGATCCTTCAGTGTTTTCATGTCTTGAGCTGGGACCAGCTCCCAAGTTCGGGCAAGTCGGGATATCTCACTACTGGAGAGTGCAATTGTGAGCTGAGCAAGTGTTGCGAAATTGCGATACCGACGACAATGCGAAGCGGTATGAATGAATTTGATGAGGCAACGAGCTCTCTCTTCAATATGTTGGGTCAGCACAATTTCGGAAATAGCCCATTTGACGACCAAGTTGAACCGTGCAATAACGACTTCGACACCATAGGCATCATTATTGCGCAAGAACTCGACCCATGAGCGCGAATCATGGTTGGTGGCATTCTTCCAATCCATATCTACCAGCTCTTTCCAGTCGATCTCATTCAAGGCGTCTTTCTCAATGAGAGTAAATTGTTGCGCCAGTGTTTCGGAATCGAATGCCAAGATGAATGGAAGGTGAACTGAGAATTTCCTACTCTCCTCAGCAGCATTAGCCTTGTTGGAAAATGGTTGTCTCGAGGCCCCAGCTGGCGTAGTCACTGGTGTTGGAGGAAGTTGATGTTGAGAAGTCACAATCTCCCCGGAGCTTGCAACAGCGCGAACCCCCACACTCGTATCCAACAAATTGACAAAGGGCTTTGGCGAAAAGTGTGAGGTGGCAATGGGGCTGCCCAGAGGATGAGCGGGAAGAGTTGTGTCCAGCCGCACTCCACCAGCATAATCAACGTCTTCATCGTTAGAAATTTCCGAGGACAAATCGCTGTCCAGAAAAGACTGGTCCTCCAATGGTGATGAAACCTCTTGAACTGTTACATTAGCCTCTGCCCTGTCGAGTCTTCCGTTATCAAAGTCAAATGGCAGATATTGGACATGAGTCGAGTCCACCAGGCCAGCGCCGGAACCCGTCTGGTTGGGAGGAAGATCATCATCGGAATCCTGGAGAATAGACCTGTCTGCCCAGTCTTTCGCTGCGTGCTGCAGCTCCGGGACAAGCGGATCTCCTTGAAGTAATGGAATCGAAATAGAGGATTCTCTCGAGGCGTCTGATAGGAATGATTGGACCTTATTTGCCGGTCTTGGAGTCTTTAGTTGATCCTCGGCATCAGCGAACCTTGTTTGTTCATCTATCACATCAGTAGCGATGTCGTTTGAATCCTCCGTGAGTTCATGGTCTTCCAGTGCTTGCTGGGCAACAGCCCCGAAACTGCATACACGAGACTCGTCCTCCTGGTCGATGAATGCTCGCAAGGCATCGGGAAGGGAAGGCAACCTTTTGGGGGCCTTGTGGAACTTCCCCTCGAGTTTCAGTAGAGCAGACTCAACACCACCATCGTCGTCGTCGTCTGGGATACGCGCTAGCTTTTTGGCTTCTGCTTCAAAAGATCGGCGCATGACTGGCTTCGACGAATGTGTGCTGCAGAACGACAGCTCGCGGCGTTGGGGTTTGTCAGCAAGCTGCCCTACAGAGAAAGTATGCGAACGTGGTTGATAATCGCGACTGACGATAGAGTCTATACGCTCAGTCGAATTGCGCCGCAGGCTACGATAACGCGAAGTCCGGGCGGATTCTGTGTAAAGGGAGCCCAAAGATTGAGACCTTCGAAGAGCAAGTTTATCGATCTCACTGACGTTTGTAAAAGCTTTTAAATCCCCACCTGGTCTTCTGCGCAATACCCGTTTAGGGGCTGATTGAGACATTTCAGACTCGTCAAGATCAACAGAACCCTCAGAGCAAGTCGTCTCATCCAAACTCATCGCCGTCGAAGGTGGGGCAACATCGCTGCTAATTGAGAGCTTCCTCCCTTGCAATACTGAGTCGAGGGACTGCTGTGTTCTTGATGATCGACTCCTCATGTGCATCCTTGTTATACCAGCGCTGATCGGCGGGCGTTGACGGCTGCGACTTAACGATGCTGCGGCACGCTGATGCCGGTAAATACTTGATTGGGAGGAGGCTGCATTGTCTCTCAAAATAACCGAACCAGATTCAAGTGACGGGAAAGACTCTCTGTCATAGTTCTGGACTTTCTCATTGAGTAAATGAGATGACCTTCTTGCTGCTTCATCAAACCGAGCCGGGGGTGTGATAGGGGGCGTGAGATTGTCTGTTCGAGGCATCAAAGTATCACCAAAGGCCTCGACGGACGAGTTTGCGGTGGCAGCCCCGTCTCGTGACTTGGGGACATCGCTAGTCACAGTGCCATCCACGATAAGAATGGATTTGCTCCCAACCGTAAGTCCTGCCTCGCTAGGAGCTCTCTCATGCCCAGGTGGCGGTAATAGCTCGAACGTAGTTGAATCCATATAGGCCGCCGAGTATTCCAAGTTAACGCCACCAGGCAAATCCGAGTGCGAGGATTCTCTCTCGTGTTCCAAAATCTCAGTCTCGGCTGCCGCAGCATCTTCACGGACAATACGATGGAAATCTTCCGCAACTGCGGCACCAAGAAGGTCGACCCTAATTCGAGGTGCGTTCCCGTCCAGGGCGCCTGAAGCTTGTGGCACAACAGCAGTGCCAGGAGCACCATTTACCCCTGGAACAGTCATAGTTCCATCCGAAGTTCTTGTATAACTGCTAAATGAAGTTGTTGATGTATGCCCCCCTCGCGTACTCAAGGCTCGCCGAACGCTACCAATAAGGCGCTTCATTCCCCTACCAGACATGCCATCGGCCGAGGGTGCTTCAAGGTAGTTGAAGTTGGAGTCTTGAGAGCGAACAACAGTAGTTGCTCTACGGCCAGGTCGAACCTGAGGTGGCAACTCATAATCAACAAATGATTGTGATGGTGGCAGGATGTTTCCTCTGACAAGGCTCCCCGCCTGAGGCATAGTCATCAAAAACTCCTGGTCCCTGAATGACGGATCCCCGTACTGGCTTCGAAGAGAGTCGGGAAGGCTGTCGTTTCTTCGATGTGGTTGATTCGCTCTGACCCTCTTACCTACTAGGGCTCGTGGTGTCGTCGCTATTGGGCCAGACTGATCGTGGAGCATTGTCGGTGTCACAGGATGGGCCCGAAGGGGCTGTGGAAGGTCTGTTGCTACTGGTCGGTTGATTTTAGATGGAAAGGAACAAGAGATCACATCCATACTAGACATGCTTGTCGGGGAACCAGGGCCAAAATCCTTATTTGCATCGGCGGCGGGCGGGCTATCCGGCGATGGTGGATGAACCCCCTGGTGTGCTGGGTTGTCGGTCTGCACACGGCCTGGCGCTTGGCTGTAGAAGCTCGTCGCGGTAGCTTCTGGCAATGGACACAGCGAATCAGATTGGCGTGGGGTGCTATTCGATGCTTCCAGGTCAGGGTTCGAATCTGTAAGCTCAGCGAGCCCCCCAGGAAGGATAGGTGTACTGTCGTCAACAGATTCCTCAGATTCCGAGCTTTCCCAATACTGGACACAAACGCGACGCCAACACTTCTTCAGCTCATAAATGATTCTCAGTTGTGGCCTGTAATCGTGCTTGTGGTCCTCAACAAGATCACGGATGAAATCGTTGATAGACTCGCAGAACTTGATACGAAGATTGTAGTCGGTGAAAAAGTCGTCCACGAAGTAGTTCAAAATCCAGTGTCGCAGAGCCACAAACGATCGCACATGAACAATCATACCGATCTCATCACGACGTCCAATTGCCCAGCGTAATCGAGCTACCAGCATCTGTAGCAGAGTCTCTGGCTCGAGGAAGGCACGGAATGTCAGAAAGAAATCGGATATCAGTTCATAATCCAGGAAGCTCGGCGAGGTGATCTCGGCGACCAATCGAGCTGGCGTGGCTGCTGAGACGACTCCGGTCGACGATGTATATCGAACAATTGATACATCATCGCAGGCTGGCTTAAATGTCAAATCGTCGAACATGGCAGGTTCAATTACAAGGTGAGAAGTGACGAAGGTTAGTCTTGAAGGCGTACCGTTTGCCTTTGCGGTGATGATGGTGGGGGTCTGAGGTTGTGTGTGTCGTGAGAGTCGCGATCGGGGCACCTTGAGCATGCTGGGTCGCCTCGAACCTAGCCTAGGCAAAGACGTATTCAGATCCTTTTGCGAGTGATCGATAAGAGATCCTCTCGTGGTGTGATACTCGTCGCTAGGAGAATACGATGAGCGTCCCAAGTGTGGTGTCCCGGTGGACGTGAAGTGAGGGACTCCTAGGCGCCATGACGGTATACTAATATCTAACAGAACATCGGCCTCTGCGTCCTCGGTGGTCTTTGGTCGATGTTCCGGACCTGGCTTCGATATTACGATCTTGAGAGCACCAGCCTCAGCATGGGCAGCATTCGTGTCCTGAATCGTGCTGTCAGACATCGCTCGACGATGTCTTGTCGTAGGCGCCCAGGCATGGCTATTGGGAGGTCCTCGTTTGCCTTCCAGTCGAGGCGATGGTCTAGGTATGGGGGTCCATTGCCCCTGAGATAACCCCCCATCATCAAATTCAGGAGTCGGTTGACCTAGATAATCTAAGCCAGAGGTACCTGGTGGTGTCGCTGGAAAAATGAAATCTGGCTGCGGAAATCGTTGATGTGCTGGTCGTACAGAAGGCCTAGGATGTGTTAGTCACATCATAAAAGAAAAGAAAAGAAAAGAAAAAGAAAGAGGCATATCAATATGCGGTAGTCGTCTTGAGCTGGAGGTGCCGAGTTTAGTGGCATGCGAGGGGGGGCGGTTGAGACACAGCGATCCAGCCGCACGCCATTTGTCCAGCTCCTTCAAATAGACTGGGATCTCCGAGACAAAATCGCAAACATACCTCAGATAGATCCTGCCATTATTCCCCACGTTGGCGACTGTGAACTGACGGCCCTCCCTACCAGCAGAACTTCCGTCTGGCGCAATCTCCCACTTCTCGCCATCTTTTTCTCTTTTGCCCCTCTTGCCCAACTTTTCTCCGTAAGATGCTCGCTCGGTGGCAGGTACAATGGGTCTTCCTGGGCTGGTGTTCGTTCTCGGGGGTTTAGGTGTGGGTTTGCCGGCGTATGTGTCGCTCCCCGTCGCAAACGCAGATCTTGGTGATATCCTCTTCGTTCTGACCTCCCGTGTGGATTTCGATCTCTTGGGAGAAGCCACATTCTTCCGCTGGCTAGGCCGAGGCCGGGGCCTCAGAGCCGTCTCGGGCTGCAGGATGGGGGTGGACTGGTCAATGGCCTCCATGACAACCTCGCTTGGCGTCGTCCACTGGCGCGCTTCTCGTCACGATCAGGTCTGGCGACAGCATCGAATCAGTATTTGAGCATAAGACAGTGGATCATGTGTCGCTCGAAAATAGAGGCAAAACAAGGCGATGCACCGTGCGCAGGCTGAGAGAGACGAGTGACGTCTTCCCCCAAGTGGCTGAAGGTCCTTTGGGTCGCAAAGGGGAGGGGGTCCGTCTGAGGGGAGATTAGATAGCGAGACGTACATACACACACCTACGAGCCCCTTCTTTGCGAAGCCATACTCGGGCACAGTAGTGGTGGCAGTGGCATCTATGGTGACCAAGATCCTCCACAAAGGAGGCGTGATAGGAGAGGGAGGCAATTGGCGAAATGCACCAGAGCGGAAATCAACAATCAAGGTATGGTGGTAAGGGTGGGCAAGGTACTTAGCCTCATGCTGACCCGGCGCGCAGGGAAGGATGGCAAATGGGTAGACGGCTGGCTGCGCAAGCGCGAGGCGCCGGACTTGGACTCAACCCAGCAGACACGCCCGGCCACCGCAGAGCTCTGTCAGTCTAGTCCGTCCGGAGAAAACGCACGAAGCTGGATATTGCAAGTATTGGCAGTGCGTGGCCCACAATTTACAAATGATTATGGATGGACAGGGGATGGACAGTGTGAGACGCACCGTCAATCACCACCACTGGGCTAAGAAACGGGGAGAAGATGAATTTGCTCCTGGGCGTTTCCATGTGGACCGTGGCCGGGCCCCTTCCGAGCCCTGGTAGCTTGTCATTTAGTGCAGGCTGGGAGACTAGGATAGTAGCCATAGCATGAATATGGACCGCCAACAACACGCCTACGATTCCTGCATTATGCGATGGCATGGAACGACAGCGGGAGCAAGCCCAGCACACGCAGCATACAGTTACGTATAGGTATGCCTACCTAGTGGGTGGCATTGGCTGGTGCAGCATATATCTAAAGAATGTCGAGAGCGCCTGCCAATGGTAGCGGTGGGAAGGCGCGCGGCCCCACTAACCTGAATGCACAGGTCAGCCTGGGAGCGATGACACAAGGCAAAAGTTGGCCGACAACAGCAGCGGCAGCCGACCTCCTATCATCCCGTCTACCACCTCTGGGCCAGGTCAGTCGAACAGCGAGCATCTACCCAGGCAGACGAGACGCATGCTTATCTCCAACCAGACGAAGCGCACCGCATCTACACGCATCTGCCAGATGATGGTGCGATGGCTGCGCTCGACCGACATTGCTGGTGGAAAGCGGAAAGGGTAAGGTATGGTCGTGCTGCAGCAGTTCACATGCGGGTCAGGACCCGGCCACGCTCCTCGGTCTCCATTGGGCTAGATGGGATCAAAGGCAAGGACCAGCTCCCAGTGCACTGTGCGCTAATCAGCGACCCGGCTGGCTGGTGCATATCCGCTCTCCCGTGGGAGCCTTGAGGGCTGCTGGGTGATAAGCAGCCACAACTGCTAGCACGAGCTGATCGGTACTAGATATTCTCCTCGTCCACAGCTACCGACTAGCATCAGCGCTAACTGCAACGCAATACTGGCTAGCTCCCTCCTCCACTTCAGGAGTGCTCTGTTGCTAACCTACACCAGGAGGTCGTTAAGTGACTCCGGGCACTTTCTGCTTCACCAACGGAGTCGTGCCTCCGGTTCCTTCAAGCCAGCGAGAATTTTCTCCCAACCCCTAGGTTCCGACTCTTGGTGAAACAAAGACCGGTCGCGGACCACTATGGCCTGCAGCGAAGTCATTCAGAACCGGATTGACTAGGGTGGGTGGCTTTGTTTCTGGACGCCTGCCCCTCCCTATCCCCACGCAATCGACTGGGTATCAATACTAGGCCTAGTGTTCGATTGGGCTCTCGCATTTCGCTTGTTATGTTGTGTGTATCCTGGAGTAAGAATTACCGCCTGCGAACGGGTGTGGTGCGTGCAATCCCCAGAAAGGCCTGCAGGAGGATGATACAAATATGCAAGCTTTCGACGACGACTGGCCGCTGGGCCTCGTTAATCTCAACCGTTGTCAACCGCCGCCGCCACACTAAGGATCTGTTGATGGTGCGCAGATGCCTGCACCATGCAGTAACAAAAACGTGGACGATGGCGCCGGTCCGACATGCTAGACAGCGCTGCGGCCGCTTTGGTTTCGGGCACTGTAGTGGATTGATCGGGATGTAATGGCAACGGTGATGATCTCAAAGCTAAGTACTCAAGTACCAGGGAAGCCCGCAATAATATCACAATGCTACTATATAACAACGTGACGTCGACGACAGCGAGTTGTGCCCTTGGTGGAACCTGGGCTCGACAACCTACAGACTCCACGACGAACTTATGCATACAGCTCTCGCCTAGTTTAGTTCCTGCGCTACCCTTCACACCTATGTACTTCTTAGTACGCGATGTGTGTATCTCAAGATAGCCGCCCGGATGGCCTCGCACGAGTCAGGGCGACAATCCCTCGTTGGCTCTCGAACCCCGGTGCATTTTGAGGATTTTCCCTGCGAGGCGCCTATTTAATAGGATATCACATCGGAGTTTAGTAATCTCACGGCGAGATCATCCCATCATCCCATCAAGCCGACATGCATATGCATTTGCGCCTGTCACCGCTCCCACATTGGACTCACTCATTCCTCATACGGCGGCCCCCACTTCCTAAGCTGCATGTTGGTGGTTGGATTGGCGCAACCCTATATGCAACCTCTATGCACCTCTATGCAGGTATCAAGGCGCGTGACGGGATAGTGCGCATTCCGCCATCACATTATGGGACGAAAAAACTCTTGTTGCCCCTCCCAACGTCCCCCTCCTCTTCCAATGCGCGTAGAAGCATGCCTATCATAATGGCTGGCTATTCCCAGCTTGAGCGAAGATCATGACTGTTTGCTGCTGTATCTGCACGATGTAACCTCAATAAGCCAACACCTTTTTTTGTAAACAATCCAATATTGGGCCTGCTTTCTATTTGCAGTTGTCTGCTCTTGGCTTGTCCCCCCATCGTTTAGTTCTTTTTCCTGCATGTCTTGTTCTCCTCACCTCGCTTGGTGCTCTCTCATCACGTATCACAGTGTGTAATTTGCTCACAGGGAATTTCTTTTCTTTTTCAGTTTGGGAGAAGATATCTCACTATTTCCTTTTTCTCTTTCTTCTTTTCTTTTTATTTTCTTGATTTGGCGTCCGGCATATTCGTGTTAGTAAGATGGAGCTCCTTAGTATTCGTATTCAAGTTGGTGCGCACTCGTAAATCGGACAGGGACGTTACATTTGCGCATGCATTTCAATAAAATGTACATTGATGTAACCAAATTGCGCGGCGGTCCTATTTTGTAGCTGTATTCTATGGTATATGCTCATTCCCGTAAAACGAGTTGTCTATCTACAAACGCCCATCTTAGTAGCCAACCTTGGGAGACTCAATCTGGATCCTCTCAAGCAGCAGGTCGGCCAATGTTTCTGGGAAGCCGGGCCCATCTCCATCAGCCCGAGCTTCGAAAATGCAGTCAAGCACGTTCTTGACAGCAATGTTCACACGGCCCTGAGTGTTCTCATGGAGGATGCGAAGCACTGTCTGCACGTCGTCCTGGCCAAGGCGCCCAGATTCCTGTAGCACGATTCTGATCTCCTCCAGCCCGGACAACGAAGGCACGGCAACCTTCTTGGCAAAGTCACCGTCGATCTCGAGCATGTCGAGCGTTGACTTCTTAGAGGTTGTTACGAAAATCAATAGACGGTGACCCTATTTCGACAGTAAGCAAAGGGACACTTGAGGCATCGCTCGTGAGATTGGTTTTATCTTACCTTGGGAGGCTTGGAGACAAGGAGAGTAGTAAGTGCTTCCAGCATGACGTTGGAGAAGCGCTGACCGATTGGGTTCCACCCAATGAGACGTTCGAAATCGTCGAGAATGAGAATACTGTGGGGAGATTTGTAGGCATCGGTGAAAATCTTGTGGATATAGTCCTTCTTCGCAAAATCGTCCCGGTAGCCCACCAGATCCAGCGGCCTGATTAGCTTGACGAATGGGAAGCCAGACTGCATGGCGATATGGGCAGCAAGTGCAGTCTTGCCGGCACCTCTGGGTCCGTGGAACAGAACTGAGGTACTGTACTTGTCCGAGTCGTTTTGAATCATGCTCACAACACGATTCATGCTGTTGATGGTCAAATCAACATTCTGGTTGTATGGGATGATCTTGAGTCCCACAGCCTCCTCGAGTTCTGCCTCGGAGACACCATACGCTGGGCGCACCTCTGTCAAGGCGTTCATAAAGTCGCTGCGGTTTACCTTCATACTGGCAACGTCGGACTTGACCGCTGCCAGTTGGCCGACTTCAGTATGACGGGAGAAAGCAAAGGATGCTGCAGCCTTGACCAGACCGTTCAGTTCTGCACCCGAGTAGTTCTTGGTCAAGCTGGCCAACTCCTTGATATCCACGTCTCCGTCCAAGAGACCGTTTTGGGCGATCTTGGAGGTGTGGATCGTGAGAATTTCTTGACGACCATTCTCATCTGGGAGTGAGATCTCAAGATGGACCTCCAATCGACCTGGTCGCAGCAGGGCATCATCGATCATATCCTTTCGGTTGGTCATTCCGATGAGCAGGATGTTGTTCAATTGGTCAACACCGTCCAACTTTGACAGCAGCTGGTTGACCACACTGTCGCCAACTCCCGTGCCTCCACCAGCACCAGAACCTCTTTGTTTGCATACAGCATCCAATTCATCGAAAATAATGATGTGGAGACTACTCTCATCGCCCTTCTCCTTGTATTCCTTCTCTGCATCTGCAAAGAGCTTTCGGATGTTCTCCTCAGACTGACCGACATACTTGTTCAGAACCTCAGGACCGTTGATAACCTTGGGTGGCCGAGCGTTCAGGGCCTTGCCAATCTGTCTGGCGATCAAGGTTTTTCCGGTACCTGGAGGTCCGTAGAGGAGCATACCCTTAACGTGAGGAATTCCCATCTTTGCAATGAGTCCGGGGGGGAAGACTCGGGAAGCAAAGGCACGACGGAAGATAGTAGAGAATTCATTGCCCAAGCCACCAATACCCATGTCCTCAAACTTGAAATCTGGAGCAAGAATGGCGTTGGAGTTGGCCTTGTTCATAGAGGGCTTCAAGTTGAAGTTGCCCTTTCCGTCTCTGTGGAAATTGATCCTGGTCTGGTCTGTCAAGATACCTCGAGCATATGGCTCTCTGTGGACTTTCTTGTTGGGATCGTCCGAAGACATGGAAAGATCGATGAGCCCGATAGTTTTGACAACTATCAGCATTGGGATATTCCGGACATCCATAAGAATTCGTTGACCAGGAGCCAGCATTTGGTTCCCGAATGTGCTGATGAATACATCGCTCAACTCCTCCTCATCGTATGGGGCATCGGTAACCTTGTTCGGCGAAGCAAAGCCAATCTCCAGGTCCAACGTTCCAAGATATACCTTGCCGCCGGCCGAAAAGGGGTCGTAGAGTTCTCCAGTAAAGGTGTCTCGCAATGTGATGCCCGCCCACGAACGCTGAGGATCAGACAGACTGATGCAGCCCTGAGGGAAGCCTTGGACGGGTTCCGCCGTGACCACATATTCGCCTTCGGGTTTGCCGCCTCGGATAAGGACGTATGGGTTTGTGCCATCGCGGTTTCGAGGAAAGTCTTGGGGAGATACGGCACAGCTAAGGGATCGCAAGTGTTAGGACAAGACCATCGTAGACCGACTGAATGGGATGCGTATGAAGCTTACAGATTACCGTAAATGATACGGGATTGAAGAGTCTTGTCATTGCTGATCTTCTCAATTCGGAGAGGGACCTGTCTGCCGCCACCAGGAGGGGCCTTCTCGTTGTATCTGGGAGCGCCTTGGCTAGGCTGGCTGGGCCTCATAGGAGGATTACTGTGTCCTTGGGGAGGATTGCCATATCCCTGGGGAGCGTTCCCGTATCCTTGAGGAGAATTGCCGTATCCCTGGGGAGCGCTACCGTATCCTTGGGGTGCGCTGCGTCCACCGCCAAATGGACTCCAGCCCGAGCCGCCTGATGGGGGCTGTCTTGACATTGTGACGTACGCTGGGAAGAGCCGAGCCCACCGTCGAGAGATGGACAATTAGGTGAAGTAGGGAAAAGAGTCGCTTGGACGGCGGTACAATAGGGAAAGGCGCAGTTGTAAAATACCAGGACAGCCGATTCGTTTGATGTAGGTGTTCAAGTTGAAGATGACGGAGGTCGACACCTCCAGGCCACATCGAAGCCCCACGCTATCCACCGCTGGACTGAGCTGGAGGCATGCTTCAGCCACACTTGATGCATCCGCCCCCACTTCTTAGGCAGGGACCAAACCCCAGATGTTACATCTTCCCATGGCATGTGGCAAATGAAGATTAAGCCGTTGCCTAGCCCAGGCTTCTAGATTCCGACATATGTTTGCGATCTCTGTCCTTTGATGGGAACGAGCTGCTGTGTTTGCGACTTGGATGCTGGAACTGTCTAGTCGGAGCTCTCCCCGCTGACGTCAGCCACAGGGTGCATGGCTGCGAACGTTCAAGTCTCATCTCGGCACCTCGCTTGAACATCCCTAGCTAAGCTTTTCCTGGTCTTGCGGGCAGCTCAGCAAGATGCCACTGTAAGTCATTACAATGGGACACCTTTCAATCTTATGTATAGAACTGTCGCTTACGTTTTATTTAGCCATCTTCTGGGGAAAAAGTCCTGGAACGTCTACAATGAAAAGAACATCGCCCGTGTCCGTCGCGATGAGGCTGCCGCACAGGCCGCCGATGAGGCTGAAGAGCAGCGCATGCAGGAGGTTGATGCCGCGAGACGCCTAGCTATTCTGCGCGGCGAGGAGCCGCCTCCTCTTGAGGATGAGCAGCCAAGGGAGGTTGATTTGACCCATAGCCGGGATTCCTCATCCTTTGCAGACAGGCCCAAGAAGAAGAGAAAGCGTGCCGGCGAGGATGACACTGAATTTGAACTCCGTCTTGCGCATGAGAGGAATGAAGCCCAGTATGGCAATCTTGAGGTCAGCAAGAAGCCATCCAGCTCGGCTCCTATCATGGATCGCTCTGGGCACATTGATCTCTTTGGCGATGAACGCGCCAGAGCCCATGGTGAGAAGAACGAGGAAGCGGAGAAGGAGGCCAAGAAAAAGAAGCGGGAGTTTGAAGATCAATATACTATGCGCTTTTCGAATGTTGCTGGGAGGGATGGACTGACACAGAGTCCCTGGTATTCCAAATCCGATATGTCAGCACCTTCGCAGCCGACAAAGGACGTTTGGGGGAATGATGATCCGAAGCGGAAGGGCAGAGACGACCGGCGCCTGGCCGCCAATGACCCCTTAGCAGCGATGAGAAGTGGCGCATCCAAAGTTAGGGAATTGAAGGCTGAAAGGAAGAAACTTCAGGCTGAAAGAGAGGAGGAACTTAGGCAAATGCGCAGAGAACAACGGCACAAAGAGAGAAGGGAGAGGAGAGATGATCGTTCGCCAAGATCTCAATCATCTAGAGATCACCGGAGGCACAGGGATCGATCATCTGAGAGAAAAGAAGACGGCGAAAGACATAGCGACCGAAGAAGAGAGAGTCGCCGAGATCGAAGCCCAGAGAGGAGGAGACGACACAGATCGCATTCACCAGAACATGGTCGGAGTCGTCATCGGTCTGTGAAGGAACCAGCATGATACCCATTGTTTTAAAGAATTATTATATTAGCAAATAATAATATCGAAGTTGCATCCGCTCGCCGAGGTCTCTGGCACAGAAATGCTACTTCTTCGAGCTTTCGACCCATGGAAGTTTGATCTCAACTGGGCGCATATCCTTTTCAACCATGCTGACCAATGCGCTCGCCTCTAGCCCCTTCAAACCCTCCATGATCTTACCAAAGGTAGATTCGCTGATGCCCTGCTTTTGATCGCAGTAAATATCCAAACCCTCCTTCGTAAAGAAAGTTGGCGCAAACCATGTCACAGCCCACTTCTCCACGGTCCCATCTGGGGTTTTCGCCTCACCCCAGCCTATAACCTCCCAGTGGGACGTGACGAAAAACAGCCAGCCTTTGCCTCGCCAGTTCCACCCGGACTTTGGATCCTGCGTATCCACGCCCGTGACGTTTTTCAGCACGCCCGTCTTGTCCAGCGGCTCGTACTCGACCAGGTCGTCGATACGGGGGGTCCCATCACCTGCCGGGGCCATCTCCGCGTAGCTGATGCGCACGTTACGCGCTGACCGCCACATTGAGAGCGTTGAATGCGTGACGCTCCATGATCTTAATAACCAATCCACGGGAGGCGGTGGGTGCGCCTCGCTGTCTTGCACTTTTCCATTGGCGTATTTCGAGGGTAGCCGGAGGGTGATTGGCTCGGTTTCTGCCATCTTCTAAGCCCTCTCTGTTTATTCTTCTGAAATGAGAATTGCGCTGGGGAAACCGGTGTGTGTTGGTCGAAATAATCGACACCCGCTTGGACAAGCAGCGCGATGATGGGCCTGGAGGGAGGGCGATGAAGCGCGTCATAGCCATGCCGCTTTTGTGAGTCTCAGAAACTGTGTTTAGAGCTGCTCATTTCTGGTGTAAGCGGGGATAAAGCGGCGAGGAGGCTAAGGCGCTTCTTCCGAGAACGCTCATCAATCCGTTGAATCGTTCTTCGCTGCTCTATATTCATATTACTAAGTTTTTATATTTTCTATCACGCGCCAAATCGCTTGGCTTTGCAATGTCTGAAGGTCTGAAATTCTTTGAGGGCTTCCGAGTCGGATGGATAATCATAAGACTGGTGGCCATGAGATGAAGGTCAATGCTGGAATGATGAATGTTGGAATGATGAAAGTTCACTATCCGGTTCAATAAGCACTCTTGTAGAACTAATCGAACCATCGACTAAAGAACAGTACCTGGCCGCGACGGGATATATATATTCTGACTACTTGTCCAAGTAAAGATGTAGAGCCCATACCTACCATCCTAAGTAACATAGGTATGTAGCGTAAAATTCTAAAGAGAAGATTCCGACTAACCCCTTGAATACTCATGCCAACGAGGATGGTATTGACAGTGTACCAACCGTTTATATGTTGATTTTTCTACTTCGACTCTTGAGTTCTCAATATGAGGTTCGGTAAATAGCATGATGCAGGTTAATACCACAGGATTAGTCAGCATCACACAGCGCCCAAGGCGTGCAGCTACTGCCCAATCTACAATCTTCATTCAACCACATCTCATCTGAGATACAAAATAATTCCTCGACCATCGGAACCATTGTTGCCAGAACGTCCCATTTTGACATTTCAGCTCAAGTGGAATACCAATCACGGCAATTGAATTCACCACAGAGTTCACAGCAACTCATTCAACCCCGGTGAAAAGAAAAAAAATGGAGCAGGATGAAGGCCTCGACGACATGGCCCAAATGATGGGCTTCTCCGCCTTCGGCTCCCAGGACCGCCCGCAGAAGAAGCGCAAGTACAACCCAAACGCCGACTCCTTCGTTGAGCGCCAGCCTCCCCAGGCCGCCACCACGAGCTCCAACTCAATCCCCCTGGGACCGCCGCCCGTCGTGACCAAGCCATCCACCAACGCGGATGAAATTGATCTCGAGGATGACGACGGCGAGGACGGCTCACACGCCGTGAAGGGGACCGTGCCGGGCGGAGGGAGCAATGCTCAATCAGGCATGAACAGCTTGCCCCGGCGCCCAGCGGTAGGTGCGGGCGAGGACGGTCCTTCCAACGGGGCTCACCCGGATCACGGATCGCGGACGCAGCACAACAACCGCGCCGCAGGCCATGGTGGCCACGGAGGCAAGCCGTGGTACGATGGCTACTACGACAGCATCTCCAATGAGAATCCATGGGAGAAGCTGGAAAAGGCCATGAATTTGCAACCCATTGGCGGTGTTTGGAAATGAGCAGCTGGTGAACATGCCGAGATGCTACATTATCCACTTCCGGAGGAAGATATGGTCAACTGTACGACCCAATCTTTAGTATCTTAACCTCCGCCTTGTGTTAATCATGGCATATATACCTTTATGGCTCTGGTATATCTACCTAGGTATCAATGTCACGTCACGTGACCAAAACACCAACCTCATACTTTATGAGCTGCCACCACACGGCCTGGGTACCGTCCAAGGTATACGATTGGGGAACCCTTGGCTAGCCCGGACCCTCCTGACATGCTACGGAGGGCTAGGCTGGGGGGCGAGCACACGTCACTGGCATCAGACTACGAGGCACAAGAGCGGGCAGGCTCAGGAGCTCTCTATCCACGGCGTGGGGGTGTATCCACGAACAGAGAGCGGTCCATCGACAGCTTCACGAATTAGAAGCCGAGGCTTCAGCCTGAATTATCCTAGTGCGAGATGTTTACTAAGGAGATGGAGGAAGAAAGAGAACTGGAACCTGTTTGCTACCGTTTCATACGCCCCCGTTTCCCAATAAAGCAGAACATCTTCCGAAAGGGAAAAGCGCTCCGAGCTGATCTCAGACCATGAAAACCTCCGAACCCTAGTGGTTTTTCGTCCCGTTTGCCCTTGTTCCTACTCACTGGGACGCCCTGCCGGGGAGGTAGGACACGCCCCTCCCTAAAGTAGGAGGTGAGGATCAATCTGTGATATACCCAAACCATTACGCCCCTGCCGCTCAGAGATCATACCCAAAATTCCCCGTGCCACCTATGAACGCTCGACAGATGGTCTCGAGGCCAGGGAGGTGGTGTACGCTTAAAATACCAAAAATATCATCCAATCATACCCAGTCATTAGCCGTACATAGTGTGTCGCAATTCAGCTGTAGCGCCTTTCTCACACGCCCTCCCGCACCGAATGTATCGGTGTGGGAGATGGGAGGAGAGCTAGGCTGAACGCTTGTCATTAAAAGCAGCGAGAGATCGAGGCAGGCAGGTGATGCTGCCAGTGCCTGCAAGATTCCCGCGATGGCGTTAAGGCTGTCCCACGTGGGAATAAGCTTCCCCCGTCGGATCGTGCCGTAGTGGTGGTGGTGTGTCGCTGCTACCCAGAAGGCACAGCAAGCCACCACGGCAAGAAAAGCCAATCGTCTCAACAAAGGAGATAGAAAAAGTCGGTGTTCAATCCAGAAACGGCAGGCTTGCCGGTTCCTGCATTGATATTGAAAATTGAAAGAAATGCCAAGCATGCATTTTTAGGGGGCTGCGGTGGCCCCCGTTTTTGTGCTTCAACGGCCGGATATAGATAGAAAAACCCAAGGAGAAGAGAAGCAGTAATATGTGCAAATTGGCCGTTGAGTTTGCGCACACTCATTTTCCAGAGATTTAACACTCAGGAGAAGGATACCTGGCACGGGCCTTGGCGTACTCCTTGGGGTGCTTTCGCGAAGCCTTGGTCTGGAGCGATCTGTGGGGTTGTCCGTCAGTCTCACGGCTTTTTATGGAGGATGGATCCCGAATCTGCTTTTTCCCATCTCCACTCGGGTCGAAAGACACCCGAGCGGTCAAGGGAGAGAAGGCAGAATTGCTCATTGCACTTCCTTTCCTCTTTGTAAAAAAGGGGGAGAAAAGCAGAGCTGGGACTGCGCAATAAAGGCGACAGGGAGAAACTCACGAGACTTTCTTCTGGGTCCACTCAAGGTCGCCGCGAACTTCACGAGCATCGCGCATGCCCTCTTGGAAGCGCTCGCGGGTTTTCGCGAGACGGGCCTGAGCCTGCTTCTGGAGATCCACGAGCTCCCGGTGCTTGGCGTTCAGCTTTCCGGATCTGGTTTCAGCGAATGACGCACTCGATGTTAGCTTCATGATTATTTCTCTCTCGTTATTTTGATTAAGTGGAAATGAGGCAGGTGATGATAATAAGGCGGCCCATTCTCATTGAGGCGCCCTGGGCTTTCCTTCTTATAGTGCCGTGGCTTATACGTAATTCCCTCTTGCCGAGATTTCCTCCTAGTGGAGAAGCTGGCTCGAGGGTGGAATAATAAAGGCATTGAGGAAAAAGAAACGAGATGAGATGAAACTCACGTCTGCGCCTGAACAGCCATGCTGCGGTCCAGGGGGATGGGGTTGAAGGAGTGCGAGAAGCGCTCCTGCATGTACTCCTGGAAGTCGACTCCACTGGCCGAGCGGGTGCTGTCGTACTCGCCGGTGGAGCTACCCATGTAGCCAACGGAGGTACCGGAGTATCCCGAGGGAACACCGGATGCATGGCTCATGGTTTCGTCGCAGTCCATGGGCGAGGCTGAGTATTGGCTGTAGGTAGGGTACTGGTTGCCCATGGGCATGGAATAGGCGGTGTGGTGGTAGGGGCCCGACATTATGTTGTGCTGTGTTGTATAAGAGTGTATGCGCCTTGCTAGTGCTTCTTAAGCGGTTGCTTATCGCTTGTGGAAACGACTAGGGAGAGGTCTGGAGAACCAATTGACTTGGGTAGGGGTTGATTCTTTGGCTGCCTAGTTGAAGACTGCCTGGTAGGTTGACCCGGTGCGTTTTAAACACGGGGCAAGATGGAGTGAGACAGGAAGACCTTAGTAGGTTCAGGTGATGTGAGTTGATGAGACAAGTTGGCGTGGCCAAGGTGTTGTCAAGAATTCTTTGAAGTTCAAGAAGGTGAAGAGAGGTAGGCAGGTAGGTTGGTGATAGACTAGTTGGAAGTAGGATCTGGGAAGCAAGTCTGAAGAAAGAAAATATAAAAGGAAGAAGGAGAAACCTGGGTCGACCTTGTTCATCTTGGCCCCTTTTATAGTTTTCTCAATGCTCAGAGATAGCTCAATGGCATTCCCCAGACTTGTGAGAAAGAGCATCTTGGCTCTATTCGTCAACGATGATGGATCCGAGACCCCGCTCGAGTCCATCGAAGTGGAAGCGAACCGACGATGGCTAGGTGAGAGGTTGTCAAAAGACACTCCCCCCAAAGTGTTGAAGTCCATGTAGGTGTAGGTGTATCCATAGGATGGCTTGGTAGTCCGCCCGATGGAGCCAAGGTGCATCCTAGCTCTCATCGAGTTCTCAATGAGGGAGGGGGGGTGGATGAACATTGAATCATACACAAACTAACTAGCAACTATCTCTGGCAAGGTGGTAGGGAAACACATGGAGATAACTAACGCAACTCGAACCAGGGAACTTGGAGATCCGCCGGGGCTCCAGACTGGAGACGGAGGGAGAAAGGTGGGTAGGAGGAAGGGCGTGCGTATATCCATGGATCAAATAACCAGAAAGAGCAAAGAAAAAAAAGACATTTATTTGCATGCTAGAACGTAACCAAATAAGCGCCCCCCCTCAGAGCATAGACAGATGGGGGAGATCCGCGTGAATGCCGCCCAAGCAAATAAGAAAAACCTAGATCTTGGGTCTGGAATTGGTGGGAACTGCAGTTAGTGGACGAAGATGAAGATCGGAACCGGGTACAAGGGTAGGGGTTTGTAACGCAAATCGACATGGGAGGTACATAGCAGGTGCATTGCCGGCGACTCGAGACATCCCGACGAAGGGAAAGAAACCTCGAGGGGGGTTGCTAAATCAGCCGGTGACATGGCAGCAGGCATACTGCTTGAACGGAGAGTCAATTGACAAGAAAAGTGTGGCTGCTAAACCAGCGGCGAGCCAATGGAGGGAAAGGGCGCCAACAATGTCTCCAACGTTTGGTCAAATGGCCAGGCAGATGGAATGGAGAGCCGCTACGTCGGTGGTACATAGGGGAAGACCTTGCGAGGTGGGGAAATGGAGCACCTGCGCTCCTGGTGTTGCTGCTGCTCCTGCCGCCCGTAGATTGGAGTATTAAGGCAAGTACCCGGGGCGAGGTGGACGCTCCTCCCCAGCGGTCCCGGGAATGGATGAGGATAATGCATCTCGCATGCAGTGAATTAATAGCCGGGTCTATGCAATGCCTGCTTCCAAGCCCGTTACTCTGGGGCATAAAATTTTGTGTACCAGCCTGTTGCTTGCTGGCTGCGGCCGAGTGTTGAACTAGCACTGAAAGCTTATGATGCCTCACCCTACCGTAAAGCAAGGCAAGGCAGGGAAAGAATAGAAACGACGTCAAGGAAGTACCTAGCCAGGTACCGCCGGGCGTTTTCTGGATGAAGACACACCATGGGTAACTCAAACACCCAGATGACAGCGAAGAACACGTCTTCGCCCTCCCTGGCCGGCCGCCGTCCTACCATCGACAAGGGGGACACAGGAAGCTCTGACGCAAGGCCCTAAAAGTGGCATTGGATTATTGCATAGGGGGTCCCACTTCTAGAAAAAGACGCCCATCCATTTCACTTGGCCATCCAAAAGGCTGGGTGCGATCCAGATAAGGCAGGTTCGTTGGGAGTCTCCCGAGTACACCACAGTGCCACCTCGGCCAACTGCGTGGCTCTGAGACCTCCGTGCGTGTGTGCTGATTGCTATGGCGAAAGCCACGGCGGGAGGAACCTGCAGGTCGGGCAGGGATGCATGGGGCAAAACGAGGCGTGTTGATGCGTTGTCACAGGCAGATGGCAATTAGTGTGTACTATATGAGTCTACTAATACTACCTGAGTCCAGCCCAGTGGGGGAGGATGGAATAAAAATTTTGATCTGGGAGAGAGCCGAAGCACAAGAAGGGGGGGAAGAGCAGGATCCGGTAGGTAATACAATTATTGATTACACGCTCTACCTACATGGATGAGGGCTTGGGAGGAAAAAAGCAACGGAATAAGACTTCAGTCTTGCTCCGGCCGGGGATATCCTGCCCATTGAACTGGAGACGGCTTGACTGGCCGTTTTTTCGACCTACTTGTGAGCGTGCCATTGGCCGAGGTCCAGTCACTTGAGAATTCTTGGGCTGGTGATTGGCTTAAAATGAGGCAGCCTGCCAATAATGTGCTGGGGGGTGACAATGCTCGTGGATCTCAATGGGTGGATCTCGCGAAGGGTCCAGCTCGTTCAGTTACGATAGCAAAATACCTCCTCTCCATTTACATTCGGCAGTTAGAATAGGTACCTGCTATCTAACAGCTGTCAGTCCCCATCTCACCAATCTGGCATGGGACTGATTAGTGGATGATCGCTGACGATTTGCCCCTCCCCCACTTCACCACACTGGGCTGGCCTCGAGTTTGGCTCTAGTGATAGCATCGCATCTCGTTGCTGTTATGACCTCCGCTATTGCAGCAATGCAATAACACGCGCTGCTAGTATCCAGTGCCATCCTAGGAACTACAGAGCATACCAGCGACAATGGGTCCCCGTATTTCTCAGCCTCAGTCAGCTTGCTCTTCCCTGTATCATGCTATGCAGCAAAATCCTGGGGAGAGCTCTGCCCGCTTCCTCGTCCCTTCCATAGCCGACGAAGAACATGGGCGTTGAGCTTCACCGATATTCGCGTGTCGCCCTCCATCATTCGATTGACCGACCATCTCTGATTACTGGCCATGCAGGCAAGCGTTGTAATGTCTCACAGCATGTCCGGTTTAGTGTCGGCCCCATCTTGTGAGCCATCATGTTGGAGAGGGGGAGCGGATCACTCTTGCATGCCCAACCATCCACACCCAAGCATCCAAGGCATCCCAGCAATGCCACCATTGTGCCTTAGCTCCAGCAAGTCGAACCCCAGTCCTCGCAGGATGTGGCATAGGCGTGGCATCGACGTATCAAGGTTGCAGCGGAGCTGATTGAGGGGGCCTTAGTCCGGTCCGGTCGAGCAGGGTTTCCCATGAGGACGACAATGAGCGTGAACTAGAAAAAAGTTTGTCTGCGCGCCGGACCTCCGTGAATGACATAATGCCGGCTCTTGGTCGGGACGTTTGTCGCAGGACAGAGCAAGCTGTATGTAGGTAACCCGAGGATGTGCTTGCCCGCTATTACGGCCCCGAGGTTGCAGCGAGATCATCGCTGACGCTTCTGCTGGCTGCCCCTCAACCGCTGGAAGGACACACAAGCTGTCAGCTGCATGGTTGGACAAGTGCAATGGAGAATTCGCCTTGCTCAACTTGGCGCTCTCTCCTAGCGCGAATGCACAAGCATCAACCTCGTCCGCTCGGGAAGGTGCGGATGTGGAAATTCGCAAGGCAGGAAAGAGGGTAGACGGTGGATGCGGAAGGAAGTACGGACGAACACGCTTCAAGGGCACAAATTTGCCAGATAGGCGAGGCGATCATGGCCCGCAACAGCTCATCATCACCGCTGGCCGTGGGGCAGGCAGCGAGAACGAGGGCTGGAATAATTTAATTGATTGATTGTCTTTTCTTTTTTCCTCGCCCCTTTTCTTCAATGGGTGCCACATGATGGCCTAGTCATGCAAAGAATGTGGGAAGCGGAGGGACGGGGGGAGGAAGACCGTTGGCACAGCCATTGCGACCGTTTTGCTTTTTCCGCCTCGCTTCTGCACCGTTGAGATGGAAGAGACAAAGAAACCAACAGTGTGGCCAATTGGACGGGCTCCAGATTGACACGAAGAAAAATCTTGCCCCTGTCAATGGCTTCTGCAACATGCTAGCATCACGTACCGCATGTATGTACATACATACATACAGACACACAGACGTACGCACATACATGCACATACATCCGCTCGGTACATCTTACAGATACGATACGCTGGCGTTTTCTTGGCAGCCGTTTGAGTGAGCCGCGCACGACACGGATTCCTGTGTACCGGTTGCAGCGCATGCGTGTCCTGCGAGGAATCCCTGCCCACACGGGGGAGCGAATCAGCAAGGGCAGATCCAGATTCGAATGCGCGAACGCCATTATGCGTTACAGAGGTACTTGACACGTCTCTCCATCTCATTCGACTCCCCGAATTTGTTGTAGATCGGGGGAACGAACCTGAGATCTGACGGGCCTGGGATTGGGCCAATCCCCATGCCCTTCCTAGCCGGACTCCGCTGCCCAGCAGACAGAGGAGGGGCCCTAGAATGCAACGAGGACAAAGGGCGAGTCGTGGCACTGGCGAACTGGGAGACGGAGAATGGAATACATCACCACCACCACCACCTCTGCCAGTGAGGAGGCGAACAATGTGAGGAGAGGACGTTTGTCCACTTCATAGCACACGCCTCCTCCAACAAGCAGGGACAACTCACTGGCGAACGCACCACCCCTGGTCAAGGTTTTTTTGGTCCTATTGATTAAGTTTTCTTAGTTTGCTGTCAACGTTGCTTCTTGCAAGGGCCCTGGCGGAGCCAAAGATGATGTTCGCGGTGCACGAAGCACTGATGATGGGGCACCGTCTCATAGGCTGGGCGAGTCGAGGTGGATAGAAGATTCCATCCCCCCCTCCTTCACGAGAGACGCATTCGAGAACAGTCCAGCGCGTGGCTACATGTGTGTCATCGCCGAGAA